TTTTGGTTTTTCTCCGGTACCGGGAACCGAACTCACGACCTTGCGCTTGCCAGGCAGGCGCTTTGCCGCTGAGCTAAATCCCCAGCCCCCAGAACTTTTGGAATGTACCAGGGAGTTTTGTGCGAAAAGTTGTTTTCCTGGTTTTACACTGGAGTTACAGAATTATATATCAGCATGTATACAGCTGAGGTGCCAGCATATCAGAGGAACATTAGGTTTGCTATTCCCACCAAGCACTGACTCTAGAAAATCTATAGCACTTACAGCAAACGTTGTGCAATGCTCAGGAAATGGTGGAAACACACTTGCCCTTCCTGGTCAAAGGTACATAGGAGTGAATGAAATGGAATGTGTACATTGCTGTCTGTAAGCAAGCAGGTAAAGCTTACCCAATGTATTCCCATACACAGTTTCATGACATAAGCTCAGCACAACATTAGAATTTTGGGATCCATTCAGGAAGTTTGGTGCAGAAAATTGTTTTCTTGGTTTTTCATTGGTTTTACAGGATTACACAGAAGCATGTATAGAGCTGATGTACCAATATATTAGAGGAACACTAGGTTTACTATTGCCATCGTGGCCTGCCTGTAGGAAATCCATACCAATTACAGAAAACATTCTGAGATGTTCACGGAAGGGTGGAGACACACTTGCTCTTCGCGGTCAAATGCCCATATAAGTGAACAGAATGGAATGTGTACATTGCTGTGATTTGCCAAGCAGGGTCAGCTTACCAATGTGTTCTAATACAGATTCATGAGATGAGCTCAACACAACACTTAGAACTTTGGGAATGTTTCAAGGAGTTGGGTGCAGGAAGTTGGTTTTTTGGGTTTACACTTGTAATACAGCATTACATAGGAGCATGTATGGAGCTGGTGTACGAACATATCATAGGAACACTAGGTTTACTGTTGCCAAGAAGCACTCACTGTAGGATACCTATACCAGTTACAGAAAATATTCTGTGATGCTCAGGGAGGGGTGGAAATGCACTCACTCTTCCCAGTCAGATGAGCATATGAGTGAATGTAATTTAACCTGTAAATTGCTGTGTAAGGAAGCGGGGACAGCATACCCAGTGTGTTTCTATACAGTTTCATGAGATAAGTTCCATACAATAGAATTTTGGGAATGCTTCATGGAGTTTGGTGCTGAAAGTTGGTTTCTTCATTTCACACTGGTATTACAGGATTACATAGGAGCATGTATACAGCTTGCATACCAACATATTAGAGGAACACTAGGTTTACTACTCCCAACAATTACTGACTATAGGAAACCTACACCACTTACAGCAAATATTCTGCAATGCTCAGGGAAGTGTGGAAATGTGCTTGCTCTTCCAGGTCAAATGGGCGTATAATTGAATGGGATGGACTGTGTACATTGCTATAGATTGCCAAGCTGGGACAGTGTACAGAACGTATTGCCCTACAGAGTTTCTGAGATAAGATACATACAATGCTTAGAACTTTGGGAATGTTTCAGGGAGTTTTGTGCAGAAATTGTTTCTAGGTCTTACTCTGGTATTACACGATTACATAGGATAATGTATAGAGCTGTTGTACCAACATATTATAGGAACACTATTTTTACTCTTCCCAACAAGTACTCACTGTAGGAAAGCTATGCCACTTACAACAAACACTCTGCAGTGCTCAGGGAAGGGTGGAAGCACTCTCACTTTTTTCAGGCAAATGCGCATAGGAGTGAATGGAATGGAATGCATACATTGCTGTATGTAAGGAAGAAGGGACTGCGTACCCAATGTCTTCCCATACACAGTTTTATCAGATAAACTGAACACAACACTTAAAACTCTCAAAATGCTTCACAGAGTTTGGTGCAGAAAGTTAGTTTCCTGCATTTACACTGGTACTTCACGATTAATTAGGAGCATGTATATAGCTGGTTTACCAACATATTGGAGGAACACTAGGTTTACCATTCCTAACAAGCACTTACTGTGGGAAACATACACCACTTGCACGGAACATTCTGCAGTGCTCAGGAAAGGGTGGAAACGCACTCGCTCCTCTAGGTCAAATGTGCATATGAATGAATACAATGTAATGTGTACAATTCTGTGTGTAAAGAAGCAGGGACAGCATACCCAATGTATTTCCATACACAGTTTCATGAGATGAGCTCAACACAACACTTAGAACTTTGGGAATGTTTCAGGGACTTTGGTGCAGAAAGTTGTTTTTTTGGTTTTACACTGGTATTGCAGGATTCCATAGGAGCATGTATAGAGCTGGTGTACCAACATATTAGAGGAACACTAGGTTTACTTTTCCAAACAAGCACTCACTGCAGAAAATGAATACAACTTACAGCAAAGATTCTGCGATGCTCATGGAATGGTGGAAACTCACTAGCTCTTCCTGGTGAACTGTGTGTATGAGTGAATGGAATTGAAAGGGTACATTGCTGTGTGTAAGCAACCAAGGACAGCATACCCAATGTATTACCATGCACACTTTCATGAGATAAGCTGCACGTACTACTTAGAACTTTGGAAATGTTTCAGGAACTTCAGTGTAGAAAGTTGTTTCTTGGTTCTACACTGGTCTTACAGGATTTCATAGGAGCAAGTATAGAGCTGGTGGTGTACCAACATATGATAGGAACACTAGGTTTATTATTCCCAACAAGCACTCACTGTAGGAAGCCTATACCACTTAGAGTAAACATTATGCACTGCTCAGGGAAGGGTGAAAATGCACACGCTCTTCCTGGTGAAATGCTTCTATGAGTGAATAGAATGGAATGTGTACATTGCTGTGTGTAAGCAAGCAAGGACAGTGTACTCAATGTATTCCCATACACAGTTTCATGGGATAGCTCAATGCAACACTTAGAACTATGGGAATATTTCAGGGACTTCAGTGCAGAAAGTTGTTTTCTTGGTTTACACTAATATGACAGGATTACATAGGTGCATGTATAGAGCTTGTGGACCAACATATTAGACGATGACTAACTTTAGTATTCCCCAAAACTTCCAATGTTGGAAACCTATACCAGTTATAGCAAGGTTCTGCAGTGTTCGGGGAAAGGTAGAAATGCACTCGCTCTTCCCAGTCAAATGCAAGTATGGAATGGAATAGGTACATTGCTGTGTGTAAGCAAGCAGGGACAGCATACCCAGTGTATTCCCATACATAGTTCCACTAGCTAAACTCAACCCCCCAGTTACAACTGTGGGAATTTCTCACTCACTTTGGTGCAGAAAGTTGCTTTCTAGGTTTTAGACTGGTATTACATGATTGCATAGGAGCATGTATAGAGCTTGTGTACCAACATCTTAGAGGAACGATAGGTTTATCATTCCCACTGAGCACACACTGTAGGAAAACTATACAACTTAGAGCAAATACTCTGCAATGCTCAGGGAGCTGTGAAAAAGCACTTGATCTTCCCAGTCAAATGCACATATGACTGAAAGAAATGAAATGGGTATATTTGTGCTTGTTAGAAAGCTGGGACAGTGTAACCAAAATATTCCCATGCAGAGTTTCACAAGTAAGCTCAACACAAAACTGACAACTTTGGGAATTTGTCTGGAAGTTCAGGGCAGAAAGTTGTTTTCTTGGTTTTACACTGGTATTATAGGATTACATAACAGCATGTATAGAACTTGTGTACCAACACATTAAAGGAACACCAAGCTTAGCATTCACTACAAGCACTCACTGTAGGAAACCTCTATCACTTGCAACAAAGATTCTGTGATGCTCAGGGAAGGGTAGAAATGAACTCAGTCTTGCCGGTCAAAGGTGCGTATGACTGAATAGAATGGAATGGGTACATTACTCTGTGTAAGCTAGAAGGGACAGCGTACCCAATGGATTCTCATAGACAGTTTCACCGGATTAGCTCAACACAAAGCTGAGAATTTTGGGAATGTTTCAAGGAGTTTGGTGCAGAAAGTTGTTTTCTTGTTTTTACACAAGTATTGCAGAATTACATAGGAGCATGCATAGATCTTCTATACCAACACAGTACAGGAACACTAGGTTTAGTATTCCCCACATCCACTCACTGTAGAATCCCATACCAATTGCAGCAAAGATTCTGTGATGCTCAGTGAAAGGTGGAAATACTTTCGCTCTTCATGAACAAATGCGCGTATGATGGAATGTAATGTAATGACTACATTAGTATGTGTAATCAAGAAGGAACAGCGTACCCAGTGTGTTCCCATAGAAAGTTTCATGAGCTTCACACAACACTGAGAACTTTGGGAACATTTCAAGAACCTTGAGGCAGAAAGTTATTATCTTGGTTTTACATTGGTATTGCAGGATTACATAGGAGCATGTATAAATCTTCCATACCAACACACCAGGGGAATGCTAGTGTTACGACAGAAAATTCCCGTTTGTCCCAAACATTCCACAAGAGACACTAGCCGCCAGTGAGAACAAAATCAGAGTTTAATTTGAGGCTAGCCACCCTCACTTCCTTTGCCAATCTGGAAGCGGGGCCCATGGCTAACTTTGCTTCCCCTTATATACATTTTGGTTTCCATTGACAACAGATTGGGGTGTTACATTCTCTGACCCCGGTGGGCATATGGTGTTTCTCTCATCCTGTTGGACCCCAGGTCAGTTGCAGGTCGAATGTCAAACCGTGATAGATGTTTCCCCCACATTATCTCCTTTTTTTACAACCTATGCATTTCTTTAGGGTTACAGTGTTTACCTAGGGCCAGGAGATGGCACTGCCCAGGCAGGGTCATGGAGGGTCACCTAGGCCTAGGCGCCCGCTTATCTTGCGAAGACATTCCTGGGCAGTGTTGATCTGGGGAATTAGCTCTTGTACTGTCCCGGGAGGCTTCCTGAGGCACCATGCAGGCTTTTACCAAACTATTTTATCTAAAATAGTATGCTAAGATTCATTGCCCCCTACATTCCCTCCTCTATGACATATTTTTCTTTCTAAGAAATACAAAGTGTGTCATACGCTGGTGGGCTGGGCTCTACTTGATAAATGGCTGAGTTTTCCCTTAGTATCATTATTTTGGCTTGCTTTACAGTGCTTTGTATCCGAGAATTTATCCAATTTAGCAGACAGGGCCCTGCTGTGAGCATGACTAGTAAGGTAATTATTGGTCCTGTAACCCCTGCGATGAGGGAGGTTAATTTTGGGCTCCAATCAAACAAGGAATCATACCATCTGGGGCCCTCATACTCATAATATAATCTTCTTCTTTCTTCTGCCTCATGGTCTAACTTATCTAGGGTCTCCATGATAACTCCTGAGTTATTGGCATAAAAACAGCACTCTTCACCAAGGGCTGCACAAAGCCCTCCTTGTTCTAGAAACAGTAAGTTAAACCCCCTTCTATTTTGCAGCACTACCTCTGCTAGGGAGTTTATCTGACTGTGTAACTGTTTCACCACACTTTGGACCCGAACTACATTGCGCTCTATGTTGCTGGTTATCCCATAGAGTCTCTGTAGGCCTCTCTCTGAATGTGCCAGGGCTCCTATCCCAGTGGCCAGACTCCCAGCTATGGTCACTCCAGCCAAAATGGGCACCAAAACAGGAGTTGCTCTTCTGGCACGACCCCTTCCTTCTTGGGTAATTACCTCTGAGAACAGAAAGCAGTCCTGTAGGTTCCCTCGTATAATCTGCACCCAGGGAATTAGCATAGTTAACAAGCAGGGCCCGGCTCCTGTCAGCCTTTGTTTGTGATCTAAACATTTGAACAGCCCATTTGTGCAGAAAAACCATAGCCTCTGAGGGGCTCGGTAAGTGAGGTTTTGTGGAACGGAGCAACTGCAGAGGACTGGGTTTTTCCCCTGCCCAACACAGAAACCTCTCCCATACACTGTCTCTACCAGTGAGAGGGACAGAGGTTCCTCCTCCTCTGTGGAGCACATGGGTGAACTGGGTGTCACAGAGTTTGGGGCGGCCACCGCCTCATAAAATGGTGGGGTAGACCGAACACACAGCCAACAGGTTTTAACTAATTCAGAGTTGGACAGGTTCAACAGGTGATGGGTTTCACTAAGTACTTGATAAATCTCTGACTTGGCACCCAGCACACCCATACCTGCTGGGTCAGCCCTTTGAGCCTGCTGTATTGTGGGTTCAGTTTTCTGGGTTTCTGGGACCGGGGGGTGTCTTGGGGGTTTTTCTCCTGGGATAATTATGGGACTAGTGTCTCGGACCCGGTGTAGCTCCCAGGACAACGCTGGAAACGGGGCCACAGGTCTCCGAGGGGTCACCTCCACCCAGGTGATTTTGAAAATTATGCCTGGGTCATACCCAGAGACCCGATTAAGAAGCATACGTGCACCCCAAGTGAGCCCAGTGGACCGCACTGGTTCATCAATGTTTTTTAAGACTATCCAGACTTGTAAGCAAAACCCCTCTGAGTATCCAGTGTGGCACCCAGCCTGATTTTCCCTGTACACCTGAATGTATTCATCACTTTGTATCCAAGAGTCTCCTATGGTCCCATGCCCGGGAGTATCGAAGGCTCCCCCCCAGAGGCCGATAGTCTCACAACCTCGGCACGGGCAATACGCCTCCCTCTCCTTACCACAATCACCCGCGTCACCTTTGGACATATGTACATTCCAGCCTTGACTAGGGTTAAATCAGGGTTAGTGTCATCAGAGAAATGCACATACTGGCCAATTCCTTGCTTCTGTACCTCACAAGCAGGGAAGGGAAATTTGGCTGGGTCGGCTTTTCCCTTCCAGAAGTGCGGGTTCCACAGTTTGCACACCAGAACCACAAACACCACAGTTTGTTGGGCACAGGGGAGGTGTAGGGAACTAAGTACAGTCTGACTAAGTCCAGTAGAGTCCATTCGGGGGCGCTCAAGGGTGTAGTTGCAGAGGTGCTCTCCTCTGCCTGCCGGGCCGGAGGCCCTCGCTGTCTTTTCCATTGCAGCTGCGGAAAGAATCAGCACCGTCCAAACTAGCTGGTTCACTGCCACGGCTGAGCGGGATCTGCCTTTTTCTTAAGCCATTCAGAACGCTGGGGTACGCAGGCGCTGGGAGGTGACGGAGCTGGCGAGGGCTCAGCAGTCCATCTTTTCACGCGTGTGTGATGGATCCATGACATGTAACCTGCAACCTTTAAGGCGCATGGTGAGGTCATGACTATGACATAAGGCCCAGCCCACTTTTCTCGGAGGGGCTCTTCTTTCCAGCTCTTAATTAGCACCCGATCGCCAGGCTCATAGGTGTGCCTAGGACTGTGAAGAGGAAATGGGTGTCACTCTAACACAGTCCGCTGCAGCCCCTTTAAAGTCTTTTGTAGCACCTGTAACTGTTGTTGTAAGCTTAAAGCACCAATTTCCTGTAGTCCCCCCAGTATGGGCACTAAGGGGGGTGGCCTTCCAAAAAGGATTTCAAAAGGTGTGAGCCCATCCTGGTATGGGGTACAACATGACTGCAACAAAGCCATGGGAAGCATAGTCACCCAATTTGCACCCGTTTCTTGACACAGCTTAGACAGAGTGTTCTTTCAGGTGTGATTTTGTCATTCTACTTGCCCTGAACTCTGAGGCCTATAGGCAGTGTGTAGCTTCCATTTTAGGCTTAAGGCTGCAGAGAGGCTCTGAACTACTCTACCCACAAAAGCAGGCCCATTATCTGAACCTACCGTCATGGGGAGCCCATACTGGGGAATGATTAACTCCATCAACGCCTTCACCACTTCTCTGGAGGTTTCAGTCTTTGTTGGCATAGCCTCTACCCAACCTGAATAGGTGCAAATGAGCACCAGCAAATACTTCCTGTTGCCCACAGTGGATATTATCTCAGTGAAATCCACTTCGATATCTTCAAAGGGAAGAGTTCCTTGTCGCCGGGCACCTGGTTCACGCTGTGGGCAAGAAACTGGGCTGTTGTTAGCACAAGTGACACATTTGCTGGCCACAGCAGCGCACAGAGTCCAGAGTCTGGATATGTAAAAATAACGAGGAAGCAACTCTGCCACAGCTGTCTTGCCTAAATGGGTTTTACTGTGTAATTCTTGAATTACGAAATGTCCCAAGTGCTCCAGCAGGAACACCTTCTCTCCAGGCAGTACCTGCCACCCATTCTTTTCTATTGCTCCCTCTGATTTGGCCCAAGCTAGCTCGGCATCAGAATACTTGGGCAGTTGTAGGAGTGGTGCCACCAAGATTCGTGCCGCGGGCAACAAATCTCCCATAGCAGCCCGCTTTGCTGCTAGGTCGGCGGCTCTATTACCTCTCACTTCCATCATATTGCCTTTTTGATGCCCAGGGCAGTGTACTACCACTACCTGAGTGGGCCACCATACAGCCTGCAACAAGTTTAAAATTTCTGATGAATTTTTAATATCTTTCCCCCCTGCAGTCAGGAGGCCTCTCTCCCAGTAAATAGCACCATGAACATGTAAAGTGGCAAACGCATATCGGGAATCTGTGAACACATTCAGTCGTCTGTGTTTTCCTAGTTCCAAGGCCCAAGTGAGCGCTACCAACTCAGCTTTCTGGGCTGATGTCCCTGGGGGTAGAGCCCCCTGACCGGACAGTTTATTCCATCATCACAACAGCCACTCCTACCCTCCGAATCCCATCTATCACCATACTGCTTCCATCCGCAAACAGAGTGAGATCGGGGTTCAGAAGGGGAGTGTCCTGCAGGTCTGGTCTCGCGGAGTACACAGTCTCAGTGGTTTCTACACAGTCATGTTCTGGAGCTTCCAGTGAGGCCGGCAGGAGGGAGGCAGGATTAATAGCCTGTATAGTCTTAAGAGTTAGACGAGAGTCCTTGAGGAGTGGCCCCTTGGTACTGGGCCAGCCTGGTACCAGGAAGCCATTTCCCTCCAGGGCCATGCAGTAGGGTCTCCACTGCAAGGGGCACAAACACACTCAACTTCTGTCCCAAGGTTAATTTATCAGCTTCCTTTACCAGGACAGCAGCAGCTGCAACAGCCCGCAAACAGGTTGGCCATCCGGCTGCCACATAGTCCAGTCTTTTCGACAAATATGCCACTGGGCGCCTCCAAGGCCCTAAAGTCTGAGTCAGAACTCCCCTTGCAATCCCTTCCCTCTCATGTATGAACAACTGAAAGGGCTTTGTAATGTCTGGCAAAGCCAAAGCAGGAGCACTCAGCAGCTCCCTCTTTAACTCATCAAATGCCTTTTTCCGTTCTGAGTTCCAGTCCAAGGGGAGGTTATTTCCCCCTTTCAAAGCTTCATATAGGGGTTTGGCAACAGTAGCAAAGTTTGGCACCCATAGACGGCAGTACCCCACCGTTCCCAAGAATTCTCTCAACTCTTTTCGGTTCCTTGGCTCCTTCAGCCCCTGGATAGCCAGGGTCCGAGAGGCTGAGAGGGAACGGGTTCCCCCTTTTAATGTGAACCCTAGGAACTTTACAGTTTGAACACATACCTGAGCTTTCTTCTTACAGACTCGATATCCCTTGTCCTGTAGTAGTTCTAACAGCCTCTTTGTCCCATCCTCACATGCCTCCTGAGTTTCTGCAGCTATCAACAAGTCATCCACATATTGTAGAAGGGAGACATTGGGGTTATTTTCACCAAAGGGTACCAGGTCCTTTGACAGTGCCTCCCCAAATATGGTGGGTGAGTTCTTGAATCCTTGCGGTAATTGTGTCCATGTCAGCTGGCATTTGCGTCCCCCCTCAGGATCCTCCCATTAGAAGGCAAATAAATCCTGAGAAACAATAGACAGTGGAATACAAAAGAAAGCATCTTTCAGGTCCAATACAGTATACCATACTCGATCAGGTGGGAGCAAGCTCAATAAGGTATAAGGGTTAGGTACAGTGGGGTGTAAAGTCACAGTTAGGGCATTCACAGCCCTCAAGTCTTGGATGGGTCAATATTCATTTGACCCTGGCTTACGAACTGGGAGGAAAGGGGTGTTCCAGGGAGACTGGCATTCTCTCAGTATCCCTGCTGAAAGAAGTCTCTGAATATGGGGCTTGATGCCTTTCCTGGCTTCCATAGCCATAGGATACTGTTTCAATCAGACTGGTTTGGCATGTCTCACCAGTTCCACAATTACAGGAGGGACATGTGCAGCCAGGCCAGGGGGGTTGTCCTCTGCCCAAACTGCAGGAAACAGTTGAGTCCATTTGGGAAGAGTCTGAGGCGTCTCGAGTTGCTCCAGGCTCACATCAGCTAGGCGATACTCTTCTTGAAGGGGAAAAGAAACGGTTAAGACATGAGCTTCCCAGGGGCTATTTACACCTGTGGTCACCATAATTCCCTTGGGGAAAAAAGAGATTTGTGCACATAGCTTTCAAAGAAGGTCTCATTGCCCCCTACACTAGATGTCATATTCCCAACAAGCACTCACTTTTGGAAACCTATACCACTGATATCAAACATTCTGTGATGCTCAGGGTTAGGTGGAAATGCATTTGCTAGTCCCTGTCAAATGCACGTATCAGTCAAGTGAATGGAGTGGGTACACTGCTGTGTGTAAGCAAGCAGGGACAGCATACAAAATGCATTCCCATATACTGTTTCATGAAACAAGCTCAACACAACACTTAGAAGTTTAGGAATACTTCAGTGAGTTCGGTGCAGAATGTTATTTTCTCGTTTTTACAGTGGTATTCGAAGATTACATAGGAACATGTATACAGCTTTTGTACCAACATATTAGAAGAACACTTCATTTAATATTCCCAATAAGCACTCACTCTAGGGAAGTTCTACCACTTGCAACAAAGATTCTGTGATTCTCAAGGAAGAGTGCAAAACACTCAGTCTTCCCATTTAAACACATATGACGGAATGGAATGGAATGGAATGGAATGGAATGGAATGGAATGGAATGGAATGGAATGGAATGGGCACACTGATGTGTGTAAGCAAGCAGGGACAGTGTACCCAATGTAAATCCATACACAGTTTCATGGCATAGTCTTAACACAACACTTTGAACTTACGGAATGTTTCAGGACGTTCTGTGCAGAAAGCTGTTTTCTTGGTTTTATGCTGGTATGATGTGATTACATAAGATCGTGTATAGAGTTTGTGTACCAACACATTAGAAGAACACTAGGTTTACTATACTGAACAAGCACTCACTGAAGAGTACCTATACCACTTACAGCAAAGATTTTGCGATGCTCAGAGAAAGGTGGAAATACACTTCGTCTTCCCCGTCAGGTGCGCGTTTGACTGAATGGAGTGGAATGGGTACATTGCTGTGTGTGGGGAAGCAGGGACAGCGTATTCAATGTATTCCTATACAAAATTTCATGATATTAGCTTAGCACAGCACTTAGAACTTTGGGAATGTTTCAGGTAGTTCTGTGCTAGACAGTTGATTTCCTGGTTTTACACTCCTGTCACATGATTACTTAGGCGCATGTGTAGAACTTGTGTACCAGTATAGAAGAGGAAGGGTATGTTGAGTATTCCCAACCATCACGCACTGTAAGAAGCCACTACCACTTAAAGCAAATGTTCTGTAATTCTCAGGAAAGGGAGGGAAGGCATTCAGTCTTCCCGGTCCAATGTGCATATGACTGAATGGCATGGAATGGGTACATTGCTGCATGTAAGCAAGCAGGGACACACACCCAATGTATTTCCAAGTGCAGTTTCATGAGAGAAGCTCAACCCAATACTTAGAACTTTGGGAATGTTCTCTGAGTTCGGTGCTGAAAGTTGTTTTCTTGTTTTATACTGGTATTACATGATTAGACAGGAGCATGTAAAATAGTTGTGCATCAACATATTGGAGAAACACTAGATTTAGTATTCCCAACAGGCACTCACTCTGGGAAACCTATACCACTTAGAGCAAAGATTCTGCAATGCTCAGGGTAAAGTGGAAAGGCATTTGCTCTTCCCAGTTAAACATGCATATGAGTGAATGGAATGGAATGGGTACATTGCTGTGTGTATGCAAGCAGGGACAGCGTACCCAATCTATTCCCATACACAGTTTGATGAGTAAGAAAACACAAAACTTAGAACTTTGGGAATCTTTCAGGAAGTTTGGTGCAGAAAGTTGATTTCTTAGTTTTACACTGGTATTACAGGACTACATAACAGCATGTACAGTGCTTGTGTACCAACGTATTAAATGAACACTAGCTTTAGTATTTGCAACAAGCACTCATGATATGAAACCTCTACCACTTGCAAGAAACATTCCGTGATGCTCAGGGAAGGGTGGGAATGACCTTGGTTTTCCCGGTCAAAGACCTGTATGAGTGAATGGAATGGAATGCACT